GCCAGACTGCCCGTGTTGGAACCCCTCTTTACCCTCACAAGCTGGAAGGCTACAGTTAAGTTAGCTAACCTCTCTGTGCCTGTTTCTTCATCTGTAAACTGTCGAATGGCAGTTCTTATCCTATAGGGTTGCTGTGAGAATGTAACGAGATAGTGCATATGGGTGGTTAATACGGTGTCAGGTACTTAGCCGATATTCCCTAATTGTTAGCTCTACAAAAAAGAGGGAACATCAAGAGACACAGTCCTAGTTCTCCTAGAACATTCTAGATGGTGGATGCCTGAACTGGAGAGCGGGAGTTGGCTATTGGAAATGTTGGGCCAGGGCATTGGATGAGTCATGAGCCACCCAGGATGATAGCTGGGCTTAAGGGAGAACAGAAGACCATGGACCAGACTGGGACATCTAATGAACATAGAGAAGGGAGACAAGGTAGAACACGCAAAAGACTCGAGAGAGGGACCAGCAGATGGCATTGCAGTTACGTTGCTGGATACCCACGTGGTTGACTGCGGTTTGAGTCCTGAACCCGGCTACTTAAAACTCATGCCGGGCCTGTATGCGTACATGCCCAAAATCCTGAGAGGAGGAAGGAGGGGAGGTTGCTGTGGCATGGCCATCCCACCTGGGGGGTGATTTCTCATTTTCTGTCTCTCTAGTGAGAACACGTGCCCTATAGCAAAAATCTCTTTAAAAAAGAAAAGAAAAGAAACACTTGAGAGATGCTCTAATAAGAGGGAGGAGAAAGAATGGCCAGGCAGGGGCACTGATGAGCAAAGAGGATACCTGCCTGCTAGCCCACGCTGGGGGAGTGGGGAGGCAGCCTTCAGCTAAGATAGCCTCGAGGAAGGACACCAGGGATGGGCTGGAAGGCGAGCCGTCTAGGAGAGCCGAAGACACACTGGGAGGCAGATCTGGAGCAGAAGGAAGAGTGTGAGAAGGTAGCTGAGGAAGCTCAAGAATGGGGCTAATCAGCAAGAGCCAGAGGCAGGTAGCATTCCAGAGACCTGGGAGGGGAGAGTGATGCAAAGGGCAGGGGCTTTCTAGCCAGGGAGTCACAAATTAGTAACTTCTCAGCCAAATGAATTGCTGGAGCGCTACCATAGGCTGGTAACATTTTCTCTTATTTCTCTGCATTAAATACGTGGCACTTCGGCAGACCCTCAGACGCTTTAGGCTTCTAGAATTTCCAGGATTTCTCCTTTTTTGTTAGACTTCCCGTGCCTAGTGTTTGCAGTGGGGGGAAGGGCTTTGGTTTCGGGGATCAGTGATGTGTGACCGAGTGGTCCCTGGGCCTTGCCTCGGCTTCTGAGCCTCCCTGGATTTTCTGTTTTCTACACAGCGCATGCACTTGCTGGAAAGAGAGAGAGAGAGAGATGAGGGGAAGAGAGAGAGAGAGAGGAAGTAAAATATCACCCCCAAGGCAGGATAGACCCGCTGAAATCCCTTCTCTTCCATTCTCCTGTCAGGGTTGTGGGCACACATGCACACACACCCAGAGTGTTCTTGAAGCCTCCAGGTCTGGGACTTGAACTGTGCAGTCGGCCATGTGGAATCCAACCACCTTAGCCATCATGCCACCGGCTGGCCCCCCAGGGTTTTATTTTTTCCCCACTCTGTATCTTAGTTCACTCCAGTCTTGCCTGATCCCCACATGGCTGTGCGCTGTGACTGGCAGGGACAAGTCAACAAAAAGGCCTCGGAAGGGAAAGGAATTCTTGGAACAGAAATCAAATTGCACCTTGGCAAGAAGCTTATCTCATGGGGGAAAGGGATGCCTCAGTTTCCCAACACCGGGTCTCAGTAAACATGACCGTATTTGTCAAAGGAGCAAATGAACTGTCCCTCCGAATTGTTTCAGTCTGCAAGTCACAACTTTGAGGGATCAAAGGGCGGGCGAGGACAGACACTGTTCGGGGTGCCCATCTGAAGGTCACTACCAGCTCTAATACGAGGATCAATGACCTTGCCAGAAGTAGGGAAAAAACACAGTAAGGAAGGAATGCGGTAGTGGGTCCAGCTCCGGGGGCCTCAACATCTTTTCTTAAATAAGCCATCCTGTCCTCACAGAAACAATAAACGCAGTAATGCATTTCACATCATTTCCCCATGTGCTTGGGGCCTCCTGTCCCTCTACTGGGTACTGTATTCTCCATTACAATTTGAGTGTTCTTGAAATCTTTTCTCACCTCTTTTCTCATCTCCACTGATACCAGAGTCTGTTTGCCTTTTATCTCTTTTTTCTTTTCTTTTTTAGAGAGGTTTTTGCTATAGGGCGCATGCGCTCACCAGAAAGAGAAAGATGGAGACAGAAAGCGAGAAATCACCCCCAGGGGGGATGGCCATGCTGCAATCCCTTCCCCTCCATTCTCCTCTCAGGATCTTGGGCACGCACACACACACACACGCATGCACATGTGCCCGGCTTGTGTTAAACCCAGGTCTGGGACTAGAACCATGGTCAACTACATGGGAGTCCAGCAACATAGCCATTACGCCATCTGCTGGTCCCATCTCTTTTCTTTTATATTCAATTTTTTGGTTTTCTTTCTTTTAAAAAAAAACTTTCCATCTTATTCTTGTTTCATAAAGGTCAAACTTGCTGACATAAAAAAAACTTTCCATCTTATTCTTCTTGTTTCATAAAGGTCAAACTTGCTGACAGCTTAGGGAAGGCACGAAGCATTTTCTAAAATCTTCTTTGTTACTTTAGGTTTTCTTCATGTGTAGATAATGTTTCTATACTCTTTTTGCAATAGAAATGTTTCCCAGGTCTCAGTTTGGGTTTTGGTTTTTTTATGTGTATGTGTAGTCACACAGCTTTAAATGGGTTTTCCAACGTGGCATTCATTAGGTAGTTATTTGTTAATTTAACAAATAATGATTTTTCTTTAGTTTTTTTTCCTTTTTCGAGAGGTTTTTGCCTCTGGGCATGTGCACTTGCTGGAGAGAGGGACAGACAAAGTTAGAAGGAAAGCAAGAAGTCATCCCCCTGGGGGGGAGGGGAAGAATGGCCAAGTTGCAATCCCTTCTCCTCCATTCTCTTCGAAGGATTTTTGGCACACATACACGTGCCTGGCATGATTTTCTTTCTTTCCTTCTTTCTTTCTTTCTTTCTTTCTTTCTTTCTTTCTTTCTTTCTTTCTTTCTTTCTTTCTTTCTGAGAGGTTTTTGCTATAGGCCATGTGCGTTCGCCAAAAAGTCAGAGAGAGACAGAGAGACAGAAAGCAAAAAAATCACCCCCCAGGGGGGATGACCACACCTCAATCCCTTCTCCTCCATTCTCCTCTTGGGATCTTGGGCACGCATGCACACGTGCCTGGCGTGAGTTTAAGCTATTGGGTCCGGGACTAGAACCGCAGTCGACTATATGGGAGTCCAGCGACATAGCCATTATGGCTATTGATGGTCCTGCATTGCATGCTTTTCAAGTTTGTTTAATTTAAAATAAGAAAAAGGATAAAAGCATTATTTTAATTCTGACATTAAGTAACCCAGCCATGAACAATACTAGCATTAAGATTATCTAATTAAAATGTGATTAAAAATTGATAGGGTCAATGTGGTGGTTAAAGGAACCAAATCCCTGCGTAGCTGGAAGCCCACCCTAGTGGCTTGAAAAACACATCACGCATGTGTGCATGCCCCAAATCCAGCAGGATGGAGAAACCAAGAAGGGGTTGTGGCGTGACCACATCCCATTGGAAATCTCTCTCTCTCTCTCTCTCCCTCTCTTTCTCTCTCTGGCCAGCACAGGTGCCCTCTAACAAAATTTTAAAAATGATAGGAATATAAAACTTCTAAACCCCTAGAGGGGGTGTCCTCTCTAAGGATCCCTCTGGGGATATATGCTGTAATAGAGGCAAAGAAACGCTAGGTGGCTCTGTCACTTTTAAATAAAACAGGTCCGCAAAAGATACAGCTAATTAGGGATCAAATATATCCATTAGGTTGAATCAAAAGAAATAATAATCTGCAATCATAGCCTCTATTGAGGATAATTTGGAGCTACTGGATGAAGAATTATACTCTAAAGTAAAACTGTAAACAACTTATGGGTAAGCAATTTGCTAAATGATAAGGGAAAATATATTCTTGAAGATCCTAATTACTAAAGAGGAGAGGGCTTCAACCTTTCATAGTTTATTGCTATCTAGGTTCCCAACTTTTCTTTTGGATCTTCTTTTTAGTTTAGGCCTTTACATTTAAGAAAAAAATATGACATTTGGACGTTATAATTTATTAAACGTTGCTTTCCAGTTTCCCGGGTCATCCTATCAACATCCCAGATGAAACCTCAAATATTACCAAGCAACTCTGTCTCCGGACATTTGGGAAGGAAAAACAACAACACCACTGTGTTTATCTAAATTAAAAAAGAAAACATTTAGATCTTTAAACCAAAATGTAATTAAGACAGACACTATTCCTTTCTACAACTTTTGCCAGGAGACTGAAAGAAATACTATGCTCTAGGGATGACAATAATTCCTTGTTCCAGAAAAGGCAACCAAATAGTTGCATTTGAAGTGTGATTTGCATTTTAAGTATGCAAATTTGCTCACTAATTTTCTTTGGATTTCTTTCTTTCTTTTTCTTTCTTTCTTTCTTTCTTTCTTTCTTTCTTTCTTTCTTTCTTTTCTTTCCTTCCTTCTTTCATTTTTCTTTCTTTCTTTCTTTCTTTTTTTTTTAAGAGGAGCGCTACTAGAAGACAACACTTTCCCCCAAAGCGCAGGACTAACTTTACCACGAAAACAAATGCCGGAGGGAGAGGGTCGTTCCGAATTATTAAATATCCTCAACTATCAAACCCAACTGGCAAATAGAAAAATATAGCCAGACCATGAGAATCTTATGAGACCTGTCATTTATTAAGAACACATTCAAGAATACTTTAATTGTAAAAGAAACCATTTTCTTATTGCGGTTGAGCCAATAAATAGCGACCGTGTGCATGCGGGGTCGGCAGAGGATTTTACCGGTTTTGTTTGTTTTTCCAGGCAGGGAGCCGCATTCGAAAACTCACCAACGTAGAGGGCAAGTCATATGCCATAATTAGATGAAACCATTTTGTAAAAGAGAGCTTCTTGCACAGTATAAATTACTTTAAACTTTTGGCTTTAAAATGCTAATGCCTAAACCACTCATTTAAGTGTCTTTGAAACCGTTCCCCATTCTGCTTTTCAAGATTACCAATCACGCCAAAAGACTCTACAAACCAGAGAGAAAATGAACAAATACTTCCCGAATGCGATCGAATACATCGCTTGGTGGGAAAAATTAGACACCCGATTTCGGTTCCTGCGATCTCAGAATCCGCAAGAAGGGGCCACACCAAAGGTTAGATACTCTTCTGTATCCCTTAAAGGGTTGGAAATCATATCTATTATTCTCGGCTGGGAGCCGATCAGTGGAGACCGGACGTGGATTCCGCGGCTGGATCTCAAAACACTGGAAAGTTTGAGGTCGGAAAACCAAGAGGGGCCAGGCAGGTGGCCTCAGTGAATCCGAAGTTAACTCATGGACTTTTTAGAAAACCTTTGCACGCTCCGGGGTATCTCCTCTTTGTTTTAATATTCGTTGCTTCCTGCGTGGAGAACGCGTGTGCTAGGCGTGGGGCGGCGGTTTTCGCCCTCAACCCGGAGGCGCCGGCCGCCCCCCAGGAGGGTGCAGGGGCGGGGCGGGAGGCGCGAGGTCTCGGCGGCTCCTCCCGGGCGCGGGCAGGTGGGGCGTGTCGGGGGCGTGGAGAGGCCGGGCCC